CCCCAAAACCCCAAAACCCCAAAACCCCACTTTATAAAATCTAAATTATTTTTTCGAGTAAAATAAAATTATTAAATTAAAATAGAGTTGATATCTTGATTTAGGTTAAGTCAGATTATTCATTTGGCCAAGCTTTTAACTAATAAAGACTTAATTTGATTCAACTACTCCTAGACATCTCTCTAGTGAGAATCGAATTTTCTCTGGAAGTCTTGTTACAGAACTTCTAAGTTGTTTACTTTTTGCAAACTGTCTTGCATTTTACCTTAGAATGAATTAATTGAAGAAACTATTTCAGACTTGGTTCTCATTGCTGAACTTCTGACTGTAAGCTTCAAATCCTTAATAAATCCTTGCCATTCTCCTTTGTCACCCTCAATACTCTCAACGGCTCTTCTGAGTAAAATGTACTTAGGGAATAGCGACTGATTGAAGAGATCAGATTCACTGAATTCCATCTCCCTTTCAACAATCATTTTGGCTTTGACTCTAAAGGACTCAGCTGTAGACTTTTGCATTACCTTTTCATAGGATTCAGAAATAACAGCAATTATAAAGTTCATGAAGATAATGTTCAAAACAAGCACAGCTACTATCCAAATCATCCAACTAATGATAACTAAGTTACCCTGGTTAGAATAGTCATCAACATTGAAATCTCCCGAGGAAGTCCTAAAAGCCATCAAGTAATAGGTAAGTCCTTAAATACCTGAATATTCACTAATAGGTCTCTAATGGAACAAGATCATGAAAGTTATTCCAAACTAGAAAATGAAGATTGTGAAGAATGCTAAGAAGTATTTCAAATCTGAGAATACCCCTGACATCATAGTTACAAGGAAACTGAATCCATCATAAATTCTGAGGAAGAAGTTAACCTTGAGGAAAGCTAAGAACATAATTGTCACCTTCATAACTACAATCACATCCGAGTTAACAGTAAAAGCTTCACATATCATCTCAGAGAAATAAGTAATGAACAAAAGCATGTCGAAGATATTCCACCACTCTTAGAAGTATTCCTTTCCTGATTTAATGAGCTATTTAACTTCGTCAATAATAAAGTAGAGAAGTACTAGTGAGCAAATGATCTTGGTAGATATGATAACACCAATTAATCTATTATCCTTCACCGTATCATCCTCTCTTTCTATATTTTCCAAAGAGTAGTAAGCTTCAAAGACAAAGCCAGCGATAAAAATCAAGAAGATAAGGAGCTTTCTCTGGAAGTACATCTAAGTGTAATTGCTCCATTTATAAATAATAATGGATTGGATGGTTAAGTTTTCAAATATTTCGATTCTTTGAGATGAAGCTATAGATTCCATTAGACTCTTAGGATCTTCTGCCAAGCATTCTGGCAGATTTACCAAGAAATACTCGATTGGACTTTGGATAACATCCTTTTCCTCTGATTTCTTTTCAATTGAATTATCAAAAATTTAATCATAGTAGTCTAGAATTTACCTAGGGTGGCCTATTGAACTGACACCTGCATAAATTTCTGACGAATCTTAATGCATATCAGTAAATTTGGGATCATTAATCTTTACTATTGGAAGTTCAGACTCAAAATAATCGTTTAGATCAAAACTCTTATCGATAAGTGTCTTCAAATGCTTGCCAATAATGTAGTTAAAGCAATGATTATTCTAAAATCTTACGAGAATTTGCAGTATCAAGTTGATACTCTTGATTTAGTTTGCTTCAATACTTTCATCGAAAGGATTTTGAACATTAGGCCTGCTCTGAAGAACTAAGATAGGCAGTTCATCTTAGTGAGTGACTTAAACTCTCTTTATCAAATTGTCAAGCATGACTGGTCGAAGAGCGATTTTATTGACTAGATTTCCCATATTAGGGTAGTATTTAAGACATGAATCAAAACTGCTATTGATTAACTCCATCAATTAATTATCAGTCCAGTTTTTGCAGTCTCTAATTTAAATTAATTAATCTGTCCTAAAGTTCACATCAAGTTGCCCAATCATCTAAGAGTTTACATCATGGTAGTATTTTACTTTTCCCTCGTAATTTATATATTCTATTTTATCTGCGTTTGGTACATGATAGAGAACCGATGCCACATCATTCAAATTATACCTATAGTCTCCGTAGTTATTTCCCACAAACTCAAATGGCTCAAACATGCCATCATCTGAGTTATAGCCATATAAAGGGAGCTGTGTATTTTAATCCATCAAATGCTTATACTCCTTGGCATTTTCCTCAAACTTAATGAAAATTCCTTGTGAGTAAGAGTCTCCTTCAAGCTTAAATATATGCATGTCCATTGTATTTAACTAGAATATAAGGAATTCCCCATGAATTCTCATACTCTTTATATTAGGCTTTACCATTTTTTTCATTGGAGTTTCAATCTCCTTGAGAGTTTCCCAATCATAAATATAAAGTAAATCTTCACTTGTAAGACAGAATAGCTTAGAAAGATCTTCATTAACTGCCATATGAAAGAAAAATTTCTTTTAATTTGTTGGCTCTTTGCGGTGAGTCATAGTCTGATAGTCAAAGATGTTAATAGTTCTCATGTTTGCATATAGGAAGTAATGATTGTTATTATGTGAAATGATTTTATCAAGTGATTTTGTTTCTGTTTTCTTGTGGATTTATTCAATTTTGTAGCCCATATCATTATTCACTTCCATTAGGAATAATTAAGTAGCTGTTCCAATTAGAACTTTGATTTTATCATCAGTATATGAAACAACTTTAGCCAAATTTAATTATTCTTTAAGTTCTGGTACAGAGATCTGAATCGATGTATCGTTCTGACTGATTAGGAAATTAGACTTATCAACAGTCATTATATAGCAGAGAGTTTTTATGTTTGATAAGTATTTTACAGCTCCAGCCTTCTTTAAGGCAAACTTATGAACAACTTACTGAGTCAGTAAATCATAAATTTCGACTAAGTTTGGATTGTTTTTGTTGAGACAAACAGCTTTATGATCAAAGATGAGTTCTTAGAAATCAAGCTCATCATTAAAAATCTTAGTTCTTCCCTGGCTGAGAGGATGGTTGTAATAGGGCTTACATTGGTATAGAACATTCAACATTGTGTATAAGATATAATTGTCTGTCGTCTAAAGTAGAATGGCTGATTTTACTTTCAATTTGAATTGCATTGGTGTCTTGTTAATTAGCTTGAATGTAAATCTGTCAAACATATACATATTCTAGTCACCCTTGTTCTTATCAGATTAATTAAATGCCAGTACATATATGATATTGTTGCTTATCTTGCCAACTCTTAGAAAATCTTGATTAGGTGGAAGTCTAAGCTATGCCAAATGAGTAATTCCAAGATTATTATCTATTTAGAAAAAATTTAAGTCCATATCATAAGCCATCTTGGTGTTTTAAATGAATTTGAGAGGTTGGGATATTGTTTTTACCTTTGTAAAATCATCTGGGTTCAAAATAACAGTTTGCCTTTTGTTTATAATCAAATAGACATAGTTGAGATGATCAAAAGGCATGTATTTTATAGCCTCAGAGCCTGCAATAACACTAAGGCCGAATTATTTAAAGTCAGTTGAGTTTACAAACGCCACACATTAAGAATCTGGTAAAGAAATAATCTGATCAGTACCCACTGGGGAAGTCACATCAATCTTCTACTTAATATCATTATAGATCATTGCTAGATCAATAGACTCTGGATTTTGTGGAGTTCTTTCTTCTAGGTTTATCTTTAAGTTTATTACAGTAGTAAACATGTGAGTTTTTGATAATGACTAGTCCTTATCAAGCCATATATGTAAATTATTGTCACAATGTAGATAAGAATTGATTCTTTTTAGGTTAAAATCGTCACCTTTACCTTCAATAGTTAAGATAGGTCCCTCTCCCTCAAAGAAACCATCGATTCTGTAAAAGTCAATGTACATCAAGTATCCTTGTTTATCAAAAGTAAGATCGTTTCTTTATGTAATAGTATGCTATAGTCCCATGAATCTGTTACACTTTGAGATTATCGTCTAATTCTTAAAAGTCTTAATAAGTGCCCTTTCTTAAAGCAATTTTAAGGAAGGATACTCTCGTCGTTGAACTTTGGTGATATAATTCCCCTATTCATCCTTCTAGTTAGTTTGATTTACGACAATTACTTGAGATTGATTATTAAATGGCTCAATTGAATAGCATGTATCAATCTCAAATTATTTTTAGAATTTGTCATCATTCAGATTCACTGTTTCCAAATCAAGATCAATTTTGAGAAGATTCTTATCATTAGTACTTTCTTCAAGTTTATCGTCTCCTCTAGTAATTAGTGTAGTAGTATTAGTCTCAAGTAGTGATTGATTAATAGAAACTTGTTTGTTATCTATTGCTGATATTGACATTATTGAAAATATCTTTTTTAGACTTATTTATTTATAGTATTCCCTTCTTTAATTTAATTAATATTCCTAATTAGTTGTGCGAATAAACGATTAATTTAGCTTCAGATATTAATTAATAGTACAATTTCCTTAAAATTCACTAGTTTGAGAATCTTGGGGTTTTGGGGTTTTGGGGTTTTGGGG